AGGGGTTGATGTGTGTTTGTTTGTTGTTTTTTATTTTTATTTTTATTTTTTTGTAGTTGTTGCTGTTTTTGTTTTTGTGGGGTTTGTTATGAAACAAGAGGATTGGACATATTATAGATATTAAAAAGTAAAGTTTACCATCTTAAGATTTTTAAAAAGTTGTCTGCTTCCCTTTTTCAAAGTTAATGAAATATAGTAAGATTGACCTTGAGTAGATATCACATTTTTTTCTCCATTTTAAGAAGGCTTATCACTGCCTGTAGTTATACACAACCACACAAGACTACCTAGCTGTGAACTCCAACTGGTCAATGCAGCTGTCCTTGTTGACGTCATAGATCGCGACATCCTGCAAGACGGCAGAATAATTGAACATGTAAGTAAAACATCGAGTTATTCTTGTTGTAATGGAAAAGACAAATGCAGTTTTTGAAACACTTAATAGACATAAAGATCCTGAACACCAGGCTCAAACTGGTACAATTGAGGGCAAACGAGGCAGGGGCAGGCCCAGAACAACCTACTTAGGGAACCTAAACAGAAGAGGAACTGGAAAAGATCAGGGAAATGTAGCTTTTCGAACTAACATCCGGTCAAAGGAATGAACGGAGAACCGTTATCGCCGATTCCTGCCGCAGATCTGGCATTTTCATGTTTTTATTGCCCTATGATAACAACAGAGCTCTTAAATTTTTTTAAAGACCGCGGTGAGATTCCACAAGATAATAATGATATGATGAAGTCAGTTTTTTACAGCTTTATCTAAAACACCTGAGGTGCAGTGGCAGAGCGGATAGTGTGCTCGTCTCCGAAGCAGAAAGTCTGGGTTCGAGCCTCGGTTTGGACACACATTTTTTTCGCCCGCCTCCAGCCCACCCAGCAGTTATGGGTATCTGACTTCGAGTTGGGGAAGTAAAAGCGGCGTGGAAAGGAACAGGCCACCCTACCACAATATGCCGAAGGCCCAGGAAGTTGTCTCACCTCAAGGCAATCCCAAATGTCCGGATCGGATGCGGGAACAACTTTTTACCTAAAACACCAGGTGCCACTGAGTGTGATATGCATAGAACAATAAGCCTTATGAGTCATTGTACAAACATCTTACAGCGAGCACTAAAGGGAAGAAAGAGGAAAAGTCGGAGACCAGAGATATCCAAAACGAAATTCTGCTTTGTTCCTGACAAGAGCACCAGAAATGTTATATTCACCTTAACAATGCTAGTAGAAATATGTACCGAAGCACAGAAAGATCTGTATTTATGCTTCTAGCATTATTCAAAAGGCTTTCAATAAAGTTAGACATGATGAGCTATTTAAAATACTCGAAGAGCTAGACATAGATGAAAAAGGTCTAAGAATGATCAGAAATTTGTACTAAAGCCAAAACGCTATTTCAAGAATAAATGGAGAATAAGGCGAATACAAGCAGAATAGGCGAGGAGTGAAGCAAGGACGTGTTATGTCACGAGACCTCTTTAACATTATACAATGAAACAATCCTTAGAAACATCCAAGAATGTCCAGGTCTCAAAGTGAATAGCGAAGACATCAGATATGCCGATGACACAGTTTTAATAGTAGACTCAGAAAAAACCCATCTTCAATCGCTTCTAGATACCGAGGTAACAGAAAGTGAACTTAAATGGTTAGTGTTGAATGTGAAGAAAACAGAATGCATGGTAATATAATATGGTATTTTTTAAAAGACAGCCAATCTTATTTGTAAGCTCGTAAGCAAAGGCGAAAACATCTAACTAGTCCAACAGTTTAAATATTTAGGACATCAGATACCAAATGTTCAACAGCAATGAAGCGAAGAAATGCAATTTCAAAGGCTAGTTTCAATTTTTTTTTAATGTGCCCAATCCTGAAAAATAGAAACATCTCAAATCCTACCAAAATGAAAGTTATGAAATGCTATGGTCAACCCTTCTATGTGGCTGTGAATGCTGGACAGTCACTAAAGACATTGAAAATAAAAGAAGCAACAGAAATGCGGTTTCTTTGGAGACTACAGAGAATATCTTGGAATGAAAAGAAATCAAATGAGGTAGTACCTAATAAAGCCCACGTGGGGCACTCACTGATAAAAACAATCAGGAAAAGGCAAATGCAGTTTTTGAAACACTTAATAGACATAAAGATCTTGAACACCAGGCTCAAACTGGTAAATTTGAAGGCAAACGAGGCAGGGGCAGGCCTAGAACAATCTACTAAGGGAATCTAAACAGAAGAGGAACTGGAAAAGATCAGGGAAACGTAGCTTTTCTAACAAACATCCGAGCAAAGGAATGGACGGAGAACCGTTATCACCGATGCCTGTCGCAGATCTGGTATTTGATGATGATAATGTTGACTGCCCTATGAATCTGATTTTACAAACATCCTAGCTTTTTACCACATTAACCTAATGTTACAAACGTTCATTATTTGATAGACAGAGAGAATGATACCTCCTAAGGTTCAAGAATACTAAATGTTCCTCACCTTGGCAAACTCGGCAGGGGTAATCACACCATCTCCGTTCTGGTCGTTTGTCCTAATGAGGTTGTCGAAAGCTTGCTCAAACGTCATCTGTTGCTGGAATTGTGACAACACGGGCAAGGCGATGGGAGGTCCCAGGTGTTGGCTAGCGATGTTGAGGATGTAGTTGAAGCAGGAGTAGTAACATCCTAGGGTGGGGAGACTGCAGGCACGGGGGAGTTGGCTGTGGGGTTCACAGGCACAGAAAAACGTAAATTTGAAGTTTTCAAGGACATACACCTTTTGGAAATTACCAAACTTTGTTTGTCATTGTCTCGCTAATCCATCTCTGACGCCAGCCGAGCCTCACCTCCTCCAGTCACATATATCAATGTATCATATTATTATTCAAGGTAGAAGGGTAGTATTTCATCAAAAGCAAGATAAATGAACAAATTGTAAAGTCATACCAATAGCGCCATCTGTCCAAAGACTGACGAGCAACTTATTCCACCTTGTGATGAAACAAATAATGATGATAATAATGACAACTGTAATAATATTAATGATAGTTATAATGATAATAATAAGAAGAATGATAGTTATAAAGTTGAGGATAATAATAACAATAATAATAATAATAATAATAATAATAATAATAATAATAATAATAATAATAATAATAATATCCACAGAGCTGGCGTAAAAGAAAACTGAGCTAAAACGAATTAATCGCTAGGTATGAGCTAGTAAGGAAGAGGAGAAAACCTACAAAAATTCTGATACGCTTGCACGGACGTTCATAATTATGACCTTTTCATCAGTTACGAGCACTATTGTAAAACACTTAGCCTACCAAAACAAAACAAAAAAGCAGCAAAAACTCACTTGCAGTCCGAGTTGCTGTTGTATCGCGTGGGGTCTTGCTCGCAGAACATGGTGACTCCTATGATGTTGAAGGTGAGAAGAGTGTCCACCGGTAAAGGGATAGGGTTGCTCACGTTGAAACCCGCACACACGGGGTTGTTCAGGTCGCCATTTTGAGCCACTCTGCCCCAGAACATAAACGACGCCAATTCTGCTGTGAAGTTCAACGCTGGAAGTAAAGAGGGACACCGACGTAAACTAGACGGTGATTTTCAACATTAACAATGTCACCTTCGCAGAGACTGAGCCCACCATTTCGGAACTTCATGGTGACCGTAAAGATCGTTCCAGTAGGAAAAGGGATAGAGGGTGCCCACGTCCCTCGTGACTCATTGGAGCAGAAGAAGATAGGACTAACGCTAACATTACTTAAACGCAATCCCTCATCATCACTCATCACCACTATTATTTATAAAATCATCACCGCTCTCAGATCAATGACTTACATCTATAATCCTGGAATCTCTATCCGCTATTACAGTTAATTGATATACTAAGTATGCATGTAATACACTATTGGACACAATCATATGTACTTTTTTCTACTAATCAGATGACGTCAATCTCGTATAAATGGGCAAGGGGGAAAGCATTGGAAAAAAGAACAACAAAAGGATGGAAACTAAAGGGTGAAGTTCAACACGGAAGGTAATGAGGGGAAAATGACGTAAACTAGACGGTGAAGTTTAACGCTGAAAGTAAAAGGGGGGGGGGGGGTAGTGACGTAAACTAGACAATGACTTTCAGCATTGGAAAAAAAACCCAGTGAAAAGAACGCAATCCAGAGAGTGAAGTTCAACCCTGAGAGCAAAAGGAGAAAATGTTCATGAATTCCTCCTTATTCTTGTTTTCTGAGTGATATCTTGACATCTTTAGCTGTTGTCCTGTACTGCTCCAATGCGTCCGCTCTTGACCCCCAACTTCTACTTAATAATAGATAGCATTTGTATAGAGCAACTATCCGCTCAACAGCAAGCTCTATGCGCTTCACAATCTATACTATTACCCCAGCAGACCTGAGAGTATTCTGAAGCAAACTCAACTTCCTGGGAAGCATACAGTGCAAGCAGCCATTCATAGGCGCTAAAACACTATCATACTGACAAGATCTTTCGCTGTGTGATGCCGGGTACCCATTTCCACCTGGGTGAAGTGAGGAAAATTCGTGTAAAGTGCTTTTCCCAAGGACACAACGTCGGGCCCGCGGCTCGAACCCCCGACCGCGCAACTTGTATTCGCCTCTACCTTCTTGTCTTCTATACTTAATCAAATCCAGCTAGTGTTGGCTAATCCATCCATCCATCCATTATGCTGCAATTTCTTTCGTCTCTCCGAGCACTTTTCGACATGTTGAAGTGAAGACTTGTTTGACCTTGTATTGTTTTGTTTTATTTAACAGAAAATAGACGGTAATATTTCAAGAGCTGACGCACAGTTTTTGTTTTTGTTTTCGTTTTTGTTTGGGCTTTTTAATGACATTAAATAGACGGTGATGTTTTATGGCTGCCAGTTGTTTGTTTTTTTTTTTTAACTTAACGCAAAATAGACGGTGATGCTTCAAGGGAGAGAGAGAGGGAGAGAGAGAGAGAGAGAGAGATAGACAT